TGTCTTAACTGAGAACCATCAATTGATTGTTTACATTAGGTGAGATAGGAAGTCTAAATTCATAGACAAATTCTAGTTTTTTTTTTTTTTTTTTCTGTGTGGAAAAGAAAAACTTACAATAATCAATAGTCACGATAACAGGAAATTTCCTTCCGGGGGTCAATGTGTAAAAGGTTTTAAAAAAAATAAAAAATTGGGCTTTGTGCTAAAATAACCATTTTTCACAACTTTTGTTCCAAAATAGCCATTGTCCTCCATAGTGTCCCCATAGTTCCCTATATGTTATCCCCATAGCGCCCCTGTAAAGTATATGTTATCCCCATAGCGCCCCTGTAAAGTGGTGGAGCAACGTAGGGACCAGAGGGGTCATAGGCCCCTTCTCAACTCTCTCTCTCTCTGTGCAAATAATTTAATGTTGTATATGAATTGAATTGAATATTAACATAGGATACAAGGGTTTTATATACTACAATCAAAACTTAATCTGTAAAATCTATAATTTAAAAGTTTATTCTTCATTTTTACTTTAGAGGATATCAGTCAGACTCTCAAAATGATGCGCAAGATGCTCTATGAGAACTTACAGTGTTTATGCTCGCATTCCCTTCATTTTTATATTTTGCAAAAGGGCCCTCTTTAACATCAATTCCTATGCTCTATGAGAACTTACAGTGTTTATGCTCGCATTCCCTTCATTTTTATATTTTGCAAAAGGGCCCTCTCTAACATCAATTCCTGGCTCCGCAACTACATGTAATGCAAGGATGGCCATTTTAGAACAAAAGTTGTGGAGAATGGCTATTTTAACTAATTTCTCAACAACAACAAAATTACAAAATAGACTCATAAAAATTAAACATTAATATAATACTTCATAATTAATATTTTAAAAAAACCATATTACAAACTATAATTGTTCACTACGAGTTTTGAGTTTGGATGGTGGTGGTTTGGGTGTGTAGAGGTAGGTTAGGAGTTGGGAAGGATATGGTTCTTTTTTGGGGGAAATCCAACAGGCATAACACTAAGGAGGGTGTAATTCAATTTAGATTTTAAATGATTTAGAAGAGTTATAAAGTTGATGGAGTTTAATTGAATTAAATTGAGTTTGATTGAATTCTACAAACTCCACATAGATTTTGACTGAATTCGTGTATAGATTTTAACTGAGTTTGTTAGAGTTTTATTATTGATTTTAATAAAGTTTATAGCACTCAAAAAAGAAAGGGTTTAGGGGTGATGACGGTGGTGGTGATGGCGATGGTGGGGGAGGTAATGGTGGTGGTGGAGGTGGTGGCGTTAGCTGTGGCAGTGGCAACAGCAATGGTGATGATTCTAGTGGTGGTGACAATGGGGCTGATAGTGGGGGTGACAGTAGTGGTGGCGGTGGGGGTAAGGGTGGTGGCTGTGGTGGTGGTGATGGTGGGTGATGGTGGTGATGACAATGACTGTGGTGGTGGTGGTGGCGGCGACGGCGGTGGTGATAGCCATGATAAGATGGTAGTAGCTTGAGAATAAAAATAATATATCTATCAAAATCCCTGGGGGAAGCAAAGATTTGTCATGGCCTAAAATTAGTCTATAATCAAACAAAATCCAACACTTTTTATATTTCCTTTAAAATCAATGAATTTTTTAATACATCCCAACTATTATGAAGTCTTTTAAAGTCATGATTGAATACATTCAAATTTGAATGGAATTTAAAAAGTCTGAATTGAATCCACCCATAATTGTATAGACTTCTATAAAATTGTGATTGAATACACCTGAACTTTTAAACCTCTTTAAAATCTTTTAAAATCTAAATTGAATACACCCCCTAATAATTTTGAATGTCATGACCATTTGCAAAACTAAATGTATGGACATTAAGGTGCCGTTTGGTAACGTTTTCAAGGCCCCGTTTTTATTTTTTACCAAAAACGCGTTCGGTATGTGGTTATCATTTTCACTGGAATTGTTTTATGAAAACACCAAATCATTGTTTTCATTTTCTACCTAATGTATTGGTTTGATTGCTTTCTTTTTTATTTTTTTATTTTTTCTTTTTGCTACATATATTATTCAATTTCATATTTATTTTTAAAAGATAATATTATTTTATTATCTAGGTTTTTCTAAAATTATAATTTTTATTATTATTTTAATTATACATTATTATTCTCAAAGTATACATTTTTCATTGTTTGTAATAATTTTTAGCCTTTAAAATATCAGAATTTATAAATAAATAAAAATTATTACAAAAATTAGCAAAAAAATATACTTGAAAAATAACTCACAAATTATTATTGTCCTAGCAGTCACGTTTTCACAATTTTTATTTTCTGAATCTGTTTTCCAATTAATCTACTAGGCGTATTTTTGAATCAGAATTTCCATGTGGTTGGCACTTGTGATGGGCTCATATCATATGCATTGCTGCTCATTCTGCAACAATAATCTGGAACCCTTCTGTTAGAAAGTTTATGTTTTTGCCTAGGCCTAGAATTCCCTTCTCCACAGAGTATGACACCAGAACGATAGCAAGTTATGCCTTTGGCTATGGTTGGCGTACCAGTGACTATAAGGTTTTGAGAATTGTGAGTAGCGTGTATAGGAAAAGCCCATGTGAGGTTGAGGTTTGGTCATTTGCGAGGGGCTCCTGGAAGAGTCTTAGTCCTGATTCCTGATGTTATTCCTGCGACTTTAGTACCGTAATTGTTGACCTCAGAGACAGACAAGCTTTTGTTAATGGTGTTCTGCATTGGCTGCAATACTATAAGTACGAGGATAGTTGCATTCTGTGGTTTGATATGGTCAGTGAGTTATTTGGAAAGATAATGCTGCCCGATGCTTTCAGAAAAAAGGTTTGCGTTATGTCAGGGGAGTCCCTTGCCCTGTTCGAGAAACCTTATGATGTTTCAGTGGGATCATATCGTATTCACATGTGGGTGTGGGTCATGGAAGAGTTTAGCGTGGCTGAATCGTGGACTAAATTGCTAAATATATGCCTGGAAGCAACTTCAATCATGCCATTTGGTTTTAGAAAGAATGGTGAAGTAGTGTTCAGAATGTGTGATGGAGAGCTGGTATCGGTGAACCCTAAGACCAAACAAGTTAGAAAGTTTGTAACTGATGGATGCAATGCAAGTACCAATTCATGGATTCTTTTGTAGAGAGTCTTGTTTTACTTGACCAAACAAATGCTATTTCTTACTAATAAGAACCAACAACTTCCCTTCACTTCCAGTTTAGCGGAAAACAACATTCCTTATACTTGAAACAGCCTCAAAATACAGAGCTGCATTTTCTGCCCTGCAAGAGCATGGCCCTTCCTATACACACCAGCATCAGTCGACATAGAATGGGAATGGACGAGTTTTGTTTCGGGTTATTTGAAACTTCTTGTTGAAATCACTGATGTCTTTTCCGGCAACAAATGTCCAATTGCAAGTATATATTTTCCTGAGATTTGCGGTTTTCTCATCTATGTTGAATGGTGCAAGAGCCCAAATGACTTCCTTAGTTCTATGGCAGAAAGCTAAGCTTTGCTAATGATCGGAGCCAGTGCAGGGTTGGTATTGGCAGTAGCTGCAATTTTGGATCCCAGATACAATATCCAGTTGGTGGTGTATTTACTCTTCTGAATTAATGGTAGTAATGCTCTGGATTGGATGAAGGAGGTTGCTGAAGACATCAAGGAGCTTTTTGATGCATACTCAGTTTGCTCAAGAATCGTTCGTACAAGGTTGAGCTTTGACTGGCCGCAGCTAACTTAGTACCAGCAGTGATACAATGGATAGATTGAAGGCTTTGAGAAAGTTCTCTATGATACTTCTCAGAGCCAAAACCTGATATCAGACTGGGATTTTTTTTTTTCAGAGGAACTAGTCTTCCCTTGTAATTGCAATTTTAACATATGAGAATTGTAATTGCAATTTTTTTTAATGGTTCTTCAAGTTTTTGCTCGAATAGAAGCCGACTTTAACAATGTGGGCTGCCTTCCCTCCCATTTCTAGTGGCATGCTTTCGATTCTAATCTTTTTTAGTGGTTCTTTCTTATGAGTCAATTGTTTTATGTTGCTTGTATACATTAATTCAGAGTTTGAGTAAATGTATTTAACCACTTAAGCATAATAGTTGCTCGTATGGGCCGCACGTGAGAGTTGTGCCACGGTGCCACCATGACATTTATGATTCCATAGTTTGTGTCAAGCTATCCCTATGCAAGAATTTTTAATTAATTTGAGTTCAGTGGGCACTTTGAACACAAATCATAAGTAATAATATGGTACAAATTCCCAGCTCAGTGCCATTGAAAAGTATCTCCAGGAAGAATAAAATTATTTATCCCTGTTTCTTTTGCTTTCCTCCAGCATTGACCAGAGTTGTTTTTTATTAGTTCCTTGGACGGGTGTTTGAGGAGCGTGCGTACAACCGTCTCTTCTTTTTTCCATTTGCTCACCAGCCGTGGTAGGAAGTCAACTTAGGGAGAGGAACTCTCATGTAAAGAGAATAACACTTTTTGCTATCTTTGTCTAATAACGCAATAATACACAAAATAACTTTTTCGCATGTTATTATGTTATTATGCTATTTCCGTTACATGTAAGTTTTTTCGCAGCGTAAAAGTGTAAACAGTCAAGTCAAATATTATAGTGCTTAATTGACTTGTTTAAAAGTTATCGAGCATTAGTTTCATTTAATTTGTTTTTTTTTTTTTACAGACCGAGCTCAAACAAGCTAAAAAGATATTGAATTCAATACAAACTCGAGTTGAATAAAAGAGTACTACTATTCATTTGGATAAAGATGAAAGAGCTTAAGCACTTGCGAATAGAGCAGACTCTGTTGAGAGCTTTGCACCTGACCGTATCTCGAGGGATTTAGTCTCCGCAGTTGCGCGGGGTATACCCTGGGAAACCAAAAAACAGATGAAAGAGCTCAACCAACCCTGATATACTCTACTGCCACAAATTTTATACTTTATAACCTCTAAGAATAGACAGTCCAGAGTCGAGCCAAACTCCAATACAAACTCGAGCAGTACAGCCAACGGGTTTTAAACTCAGTGAAAAAGGGACTTTGATTTTCATAATAATAATCTCAGGTTCAAACCCAAACGCAGGGTTTAGGGTTTAGGGTACAAGTCGTAGCCCACCTGCTTGCGTTTTTGTCTCTATAAAATATGCCCTATTAACTCCCCGCCCCAACCAGAGCACACCATAGGCTATACCTTTTTTGGATGAAGTAGGAGGATCAAACCCCAAACCAAACAGACCCATTGGCTATACTTTTTTCCATATATAAGACCCCTCAAATCCCAACTCTTACATCGCAGGCATAATCGAAAATCGAAAGTTAGAGCAAAACATCAGACAATCAAAGCCATGGCAGATTACTTCCCTGAAGAAGTCATACACGAAATCCTCCTGAGGCTGCCCATCAAATCTCTAATCAAATTCAGAGCAGTGTGCAAATCATGGTGGTCGCTGATCAAAAGCCCTACCTTCATCCACACCCACCTCAGCCGCCGCACAGCCCAATCCAGCAACCAAAACGACGGTCACCTCGTTCTGCTAAACGCTTTACCTGAGAAAGTGGACGCTGCTTGTCAGCTTGGTGAGCTTTTCTCCTTGCACTGGGACAACCCTGAATTTGATGAGTACACAGAGCTTGTAAATCCATTCATTTACCATAACACAGCTTATTTTCCCAAAAAGATCACATTTTTACTTGAGAATTTCCATGTGGTTGCCACTTTTAATGGGCTGATATGCCTCGCTGCTGATTTTGCAACAATAATCTGGAACCCTTCTGTTAGAAAGTTTATGTTTTTGCCTAGGCCTAGAATTCCTTTTCCCACAGATTACATCAGAAAGTTTATGATAGCAAGTTACGCCTTTGGCTACGATTCGCGTACCGATGACTATAAGGTTTTGAGAATTGTGAGCGACCTTTTAAGCGAAGCCCCATGTGAGGTTGAGGTTTGGTCATTAGCCAGGGGCTCCTGGAAGACTCTTAGTGCTGCTGTTATTCCTGCGGACTTTAACCCTGCAGGTATTACTCTTAGATACAGACAAGTTTTTGTTAATGGTGTTACTCATTGGCAGCAATCCTTGAAGAACGAGGGTAATTGCATTGTGCAGTTTGATATGGTCAATGAGGTATTTGGAAAGATAACGGTGCCTGATGCTTTGAAAAGAAAGAATTGCTTTATGTCGAGATACGGGGAGTCCCTTGCCTTGTTTGAGACATATGATGAAGTTTCAGAGGGATTAAATGCTATTACTTGTATTCACATGTGGGTCATGAAAGAGTTTGGTGTGCCTGAATCATGGACTAAATTAATGAGTATATGCTTGGAAGGAACTTTAATTGCGCCGTTTGGTTTTAGAAGGAGTTGTGAATTAGTGTTCAGAATGTATGGTGGGATGCTTTTATCGGTGGACTCTAAGACCAAACAAGTTAAAGAGTTTAAAACTGATGGATACAGGTACCACTTCATGGATTCTTTTGTAGAGAGTCTTGTCTTACTTGGTCAAACCAATGCTATTTCTTACTAAGAAGGACCAACAAATTAGAAGTAAAGACGAGGTTGGATTGGATTTTGATTAGCACTTGCCTTCACTTCCGGTTTGATGGAATTCAACACACCTTGCTTTTTAAACAGCCTTAAAATACAAGGGTGCATTTTCTGTCCCGCAAGAGCATGAGCGTTCCTATACTGCAGCTTTAACCGGCAGAGAATGGGAATGTAGGAGTTTTATTACTGGTTATTTGAAACTTCTTGTTGAAATCACCAATGTCTTTTCAGGCAATAAACCAACTGGAGGTATATATTTTCCTGAGATTTGTGATGATCACATCTAAATATTGAATGATGCAAGAGCCCAGATGACTTTCTTAGTTCTATGGCATTAAAAATGAAGCTAAACTTGATAAATGGTGGAGCGAGTGCAGGTTGGCATTAGCAGTAGCAGCAAATTTGGATCCCTGATTCAAGATGCGTTGCTGGTGTATTGCGATTCTCAAATTTACTGTAGTACTGCTGTGGATTGGATCAAGGAGGTTTCTGACGGCATCAAGGGTCTTTTTGATGCATATTCAATTTGCTCAACAAGGGTTGATTAAGGTTGAGTGAGCTTTTATTAGTCCTATATCAACTGTTGCTCCAGTATCCGCAGTCAGTGTTGGTGGTATTGTGGTAGAGTGCTCGATCAACATCGAAGCACACGAAATGCTGACACACTACAGGCTCTGATATTCACTCCAAATCAGATTGGTTGCTGATGGATTTAAAAGGCATGTGCATTATACTTGAATCTTACTCTGTCTTCAATATAACATGTACTTTGTAGTGATCTCATTGCAATAATTACTAGTTTCTCTTCTTTCTCTTCTTTTTTTTTCTTTTTCTATCAGATGTCATCTTTCTTCTATGTACCTATTTATGTACCTTGGACTCTTGATCAGGAAATTGATGTATAATTTCAAAGAAAATATATTTCTTAACCATCTAATGGGTTACTTATTCTTCTTAGCAAGTCTTTGATCTCTTGTGTTTTAACCTCTTAATCAATGGGTTGGCGTTTACAAATACGTTGTAGACTTCTCCATTGATGGGCTAAGGATCAATTACAGGGCCACCTGGACCCACTATTGATGGGCTCGCTAACTTTAAAATTGAGGTTTTAATTTTGGAGCTGAGAAATTAAAGCCAATCATGCTACAAGCCCAACAACTTTTTTTTTTTCTCTCTCTTTCCAAAGCTAAACCTCAAGTTAGACCAAAAAATTTATAGCTCAATTAGTTAAGAGTGATAACACAACACTGCATTCGAGATCATGTGTTCGATTTTCCCGTCCCTACTACACATTGCGATGGCCCACTCGTTAGTCATACGTGGCCACTTGATACTGGTCACATGTAAATTTCATGAGACCACTCATAATATATCATATCAGTGTCCAATCTGTTCTTTTGCGAAAGGCTTATGGATATTGGATATACAGGCCCCTACCAACTCCACTCTCCCAGTCCCTGGAAGATGAACAAAAAAGTAGCAAACAAATAAGGTGATATCTTCAAAGATACCCCATATGTTTAGGAGATTCTGAACCAAAGAATCGGATTCCAAAAGTGCCCCCACTGATTTGTTTCTGCCTTTCATAAAGCCTCTCTCTCTCCACATCTCTCTACCCACCAGACCAGGACCATGTGTTGATTCCCCCTACAGCTGAACCTTAGGCCCCCATGCCTGTCTCCAAATGCTGTGCCACCTCCCTACCCTACCCTACCCTCTTTTAAATTTGTAACCATGATGATGATGGCAAAATCGCCTTTTCAGATTTCATGCACTTTGTTTGGTTTTTTCCTTCTTGGATAAGCAACTATCATGATGTTCATCGTGCTGCATCAGAAGAATCCGTATAGAGATATCAGAAATGTTGTTGCCGATATTTTCCTCTCCGTTTTGTCTATTGTTTTTTTTTTCTCAGAGCAGGTTATGTATTTTTCTGACCTGAGTTCTGCGTGAAATTTTGTAGAAAGCTGTTATGGATTTGCCTATTATTGGATATGATACTGATAAATGGCATCCACATGACTCTTGTTGTGAAATAGATACTGACACTACCTCATCTGGCGAACACTAGTTGTAAACTTATACTTCTTAATTGTGAAATAGATAGTGACACTACCTCACATGGCAAACACTAGTTGCAAACTTATACTTCTTAATTTTTTTGGACTTTTGAGAGTTAGTATAGTTAGCTTGTATAAGTATGGCTTAGCCTTGCTTAGCATGCATATATGTTATTTTAAAAATTAAAAAACAATCTTAGGGATGGACATAAAACATCCCAAACCGAAAAAACCAACCGAACTGGCTTTTTATATATATATAAAAAAGTACAAGTTATACTACAAGATAAAGGGGGCTTCTCTCACACACAAACACTATAAATGTGACATGAAGTTCAAACTTGAGACTATTGGTATGTAAATCAATGCCCTTTTCTAATGGGCTATATCTTGTTGGTAACAGAACTGACTGTTTTAATTTAGCTTTTTTTAATTAAATAGTATGTGATCTCAAACCGAATCGAATTGAACCGAACATAACTAATGCATAATTAATAGGGGTTCTTAGATCTAGGTCCAAAACGATTAGTAGCCATTGGGTTTAGATGTAGGTCCTTTGACTTTTATTACTCTTTTTATTGTGTCCATTTTACCCTTTAAGGTAAATAGGGAAAACATTGAAAATCTAAATTTAATGGATTATTTACTTGTAATTGAATTTCAAAATTTCAGAATTTAAATTTTGAATTCTTTCATTGATAATATTTACCTAATATATGGATAAAATACAAATTAATCAATGAAAGTAAAGACCCACATATTATACTAATCGATTAGGCAAGCACCCACATTAAATTATGTACCTAACATATAGGTAAATAGTGTTCTTATTAGCAACGAAAAAAACTTAGTGATAAATCGTGTTAGCTATAAGTCGTGAATATAAATTAGAATACTACCTATAAGTTAGGAACATAAATTAGAAGACTACATATAAGTCAAATACAAAAATAGACAAATAAAATTGTATGTTACCTATTAAAAAAATATACATAAAATACTATTATTCATTGTCTAAATATGAAAAAACACATATATATATATATATATATATATATATATATATATATGCAATAGGCAATAGGCAATAGGCAATAGGCAATAGGACAATATATTACACCATAGAATAATATATATACAAAAGTATATACTATACCTCTACCATAGGGTGAACAATAATAAAAACAATTTACCTACAACTTTTGAAGAAAACGAAAGGGGAAAGGAATCTTGTAACATGGAATGCCATGATTTTGGGTCATATTCAAAATCCAGTGACCAAACACAAAAATAAATTGGTTTGATATGGAGAGAATTACGCATACTAGAAAAACCTAAAACCTCTAATTCGGCAGACAAAAGCACTTGTACTCAAACCTACAATACAGATCCACCGCGCAATGGCAGTAACGGCAAATCCGCATCGAAAATTCAAACACTAAATACAAACATCAGCAAACTTCTATTGAGTTTCTGAGAGTTATTAGACTAAAATAAACACAGAAACAAAGACACTGCACCACATCCTCTCCAGCAAACCAAAGAGATTCGTAGCACCAACATGACTAAACCTCTTATTTTGCACAGGCAAAACCCGATCCCACACAAAACGGCAACAATCACTTTTCCAACTCCAAACATTGAACTGGAGCAAAATCCATGTGAGTGAACCAAAAGCTGCAACAAAATCATGGCGTCTACGATGGATTGCAGTACTTGCTTCAAAAAAGCAACGAAAACCAAAGAAAAAAGTTGGGTCGACAACACCACACCGCAATCATCCCAGCGACAGCAAGACACATCCAAGAACAACAAAAGTCACCAAGGACCTACAACAGAAAACACACAAACAAACGAAAGACAAGATCCATATAGTTTTGGGCAAGAGAACCCAAAATCCAAACGAATTTGGGGAGAGAAGAAGAGAGTGGAATAAAACTAGGAAATGAGAAAGGGAGATGAGGAGAGAAAGATGGAAGATGGGGAAGTCATCGACCCCTAAAGGGGGGGCGGCGGCTACAGAGCTCACAGTTTCACCTTCAGAGAGAGTTTAGGGTTTCACTCTAGGAACAAAAAATTTAAATACAAATTAGTTAAATACAAAAGTTTGAATCAACATGTCAAAAATGGAATGTAATCTATGTGGTCAACTAGTCAAAGAACTTGTATCAACAAACAATAATTCAAGGACTAGACCCAACTATTGGTTGGATTTTTAGACATGTATCAACTTTTCTATAATTAATACTATATTTATGTATATATTTTTTGGGGGGCTAGGGCATAGAAGAATCATTTTATGTATCAGTAGGATAAGACCACAAGATAGCAATTTTCTCAACGGCGGAATGATCGGGTAAATGTCTGCATCAATTGCATGCTCTCCCTGATACGACAAGGGTACCCAGAAAATCCCAACCCATCGCACCAACTCTGTTTCCCCCTGTTTCCTAGTTTCTGAATTATACTAATTACCTAATTACTCTCTCTCTCTCTCTCATGAAAATTTTAGTCCCAAAAAACCAGAAGGAGTGAGTGTGTTTGTATGGATTTGCAACACTACACGTCATAAAACATCTTTTTAATGCATGGTTTTGGTGGTCGTATTAGAGTTGACCTCCCATAAAACAAACGGATTAATTTATTATTTTTAAGACCAAAGTTCACAATATTATAACAACACTAAGAATTAATTAAAAGCACACTACCAAAAGCAGATTTATGTATGCTGCTGACATATATGTCAAGAAAGAAGAAAGCAACAAATCAAAAGTAAATAAATTAAACCAAAAGCATCTTATTATAAAATTAGTTTGGAATCTATTTTTCTGAAAGTTTGTGAAGTGGTGGCAAAAAAGCTCATCAAAGTGCAGTTGCCAGACGCTTTTTAAGCCATTGATTTTGCTTAATCAGGTTATATTATGTAGCAGCCACGAAAAGAAAACAGAAAGTGAATGGGTCCAATGAGAAATGTGTAACCTCACGTGAAAGCCAAGTTACCGAAGGTTGAGATATAAAGGCATAAAGCTAAAGATTATACATATACATTGGTGCAGAATCAAAATAGATCCCCGCAGCAGACAATATATTCGACAGAATAAATCTACTTTTTGGTGTTGTTTATGACACCAACAACTATTTAGATGTGAAAAACTATTTATTTTACTCATCAATATTGTTTATGTGTGTTTATTCATCATAATAGTTGCAAACTCTTTCTACCAGCAAGCAAAGTATAACTCACAATATTTGGGTACGTAGGGGGACTTTATCAGGGAATTGAGGTTCTCTCTAATTGTCTTTGACTAGCACTGGCAGATCCATGAATTTTCCGTCTTTGGGGCAAGAACTTATAAATTCTAGCCTAGCACGCAGAGGCTAATGGACCCTACCAACAATCTGTAAAGTCTGGCCTAATGCAGCCCAAGTCTCAGCCATTCCTTTGCCCCATTGCCCTGCCTTCGCCTTCTTTGAGGCATTTTATAAAACAGCTTTCCCCCATTCAACATAAAATATCATGAAAGGAGTAGAACAAGACTGAGTGGGGATTATTACCTTCACGGGATCCTTACTAGATCAGCCACTGTTTGGCTAGGTTACAAGTAGTCCGACGACTTCTCCTTTATATGTAGAGAACTTCACATAACTCTCTTGGCTCGAATCCTATTTCAATATTAATATATATCGCTTTTGATCAAAAATAAAAAGTTAGTCTCCTATCATTTTATTGTTGATCAATAAAGATTCTAATGTCCTGTCGACATTCTTCAAAATAAAAAGTTAATCATGAAAAAAAAGAAAGCATTTGCAAATACATATATCCAATTCATATCATTGTCAGTAAAGATTCCAATATTTGTCCTCATTGGCATAAAATCGATAAGAACAAAAATTATTTGTATTTCTTAAATTGTTGAAATCTTTACTTCATATTTTTTTCTTCTGCTTTTGCTCATGCGTTGTCATCACCCAATTGAACAAAAGAAAACACAGCATCGCTCTTTCTTTTGTTCTTTGTTTAACGGAAAAGAAAAGAAAAATTCAAAATAAAGAAAAGGGAACAAATTCCCTCCAAATGATTGGTCGCGACGTAAAAACTAAAAAGCCCCCCCGCTTATTCTCTCTCCCGCCATAAAAGCTATTCTGACGCTACCACTGTCTCCCAATTACTCTCTCTCCCCAACATATTTCAGTTCGTCTAGCTTTCTCTCTCTTACTCCTCCATAACAGATTCTCTCTCTATCTCTCTCTCTCTCTCTGCAATTGGACGAAGAAGGAGGTTAGTGTTCGTCAAAAGCTCGAGGAGGCTCTTCAAACCAATGGGTTAGCTCTCTCTCTCTCTCTCTCTGTATTTGAATGCAAGATTAGGCGCACCTCTGTATATCTGTAAAAATATGTTGAATTTCTTTGAATCTCTGATTCTGGATCGAAGGTTGCTTTTTTTTTCGTTGAATCATCGTTGTTTTGATTTCTACTTTTAATTTTCATTTCAAGAAATCGTCATTATTATGTTTATTTTTGCACAATAAATCTCGACATCCAGAATAGGCCAACACAGATTCGTGTATATATCTCTGTGTGTGTGTGTGTGTGTGTTTGTATATGCTTTTGTGATGTAACTGTGAAATACAAAGCATTCAGGACGAATGAAAGAAAGTTTGAGAATTTTCTTTTATTTCTCTTCTTCTTTTTTTGTATCTATTTCTTTTGTTCACACGCTGAAGCTTCGAGCTACAATTAGTTAATCAGTTAGATTTCCGTTAGAGAGGGTATTACTATTAGCATATGGCAGTCCTGTCCACATCAGCCATGGGAGTTCTTACTAAACACTCCCTAGCTTTTAGCCTTTAGCTTGTTTAGGTAGTAACTTGTTCTCTCTCTGCCACTGTTATAAACAAGAAACCAAAAATTTATTTGTCGAAAAGTACCATTTGATGGACAACCAAATCTAAATGGGATATTTTTTGTTTTTTGTTTTGTTTTGGTGTTATGCCTTTTAAAATAATTACTGTAGCACTAATCAAATGCGTGGTTAAGTGTTTTCTCATTGGTGTGTTTTAATAGAATGTTCTGCTAGATTAATAGAATGTTCTGCTAGATTCATTCCAATGGCTACAGAACAAGGAAGCTTCAGGTATGCAGCTAGGGGGTAGAGTTCACCATCTGAAGTTTTCTATGTTGCAATAAGAATGCTGCCTTAAAATGTATTTTGAAAGCCACGGATCTATTCTAGTGGAAAAAAGACATTGATTTGCAAGTTACTAGTCTTAGGTTCGAATTCTCATAGAATTCTAGTTTGTGTAAGAAACTCCTATTTACCTTGCAGTTTAAGGCTATCGTTTGTATTAAAAAATATATTTTGAAATGTTTTCCTTGAATTGTAACGAGCCCATGAAAAATTAGGATTTCAAATTTTTTTTTTACTTGATGAAATTTCACCAGCAATTCACCATGATGTCAGTTTTTTTGACTTGTCCAAAAGAACTTGCCAGATTGGATGGATGGGATGTTGCTCAAAATGGGACCTACACCATGCTGGCTGGGTGGCAATCCTTGCATGTGTGACAAATTTTAAGTTTTGCCGCAAATTCCCTGTCCTTGGTAGAGCCTCTCACGAGCTTCACACCATAGAAAGAAGAATCCCTTATCTCTGAGTCTGAGTCTGATGCTGAGCACAGCAATAATACCCAACTCCACTTGCCTCTTGCTCTTGCAGAGAAAACAAACACTGCGCTGCATGCGTATCATATGACTTTCTTACATTTCCATTGGCCTATTCGTCCATTTAGCTACTCACATGTTTATGGTTCTTTGTCACTCTCTTTTTCTTTTTCTTTTGCTTTTTCATAAAACAAAAAAAAAAAGAGAGAGAAAAGAAGAAGAAAAAGCATATCTTTATCATTCAAAAGATATTTACAAAGTTCAGTGGCATTGTTCCAAGCCAAAAGATTTCTTTCTCCTTTTTTTAAACAAGTCAATCGATGAAGGTTAGTATTATTCTTCCTCTTGTTTTATTATTAAGTTCTTGTTTTGCCTAATTGTTAATGTTACTTTGATTGTGTCTCCATCGCTCTCTTTTCCGTTCTTCTCTTGCCCCCAACTACCTTTGAAATTGGTCCCTAATTTCATGCTTCATGGGAGCTTTGATTGATAGAGAAATCTGACTTTTTGTTTCATTTTTTTGTTTTAGATCATTACTGAAAATGTCCAAGTTCTTTTGATTGTTAAGGTTTTAATGTTCGCTTCCCAACATTAGAGGTCCTTAGATTGCAGATTGATGGTAATCTCTCAGACATTTGGTCCCTACTAGGGGACTCGCTAGAGCTTAGCTAGGTGAAAGAAGAATTGGAGTAATTTGTCATTCTCAGTGCTTAATTATTCAAAAATTAAATTGTCTAAATATACAAGTGATAGTTTACACTACAAGAGGAGGGGGTTTCTCACACAAACTCCCAAGTGTTAGGGGGATTCGAGCCTAAGAGTATTGGTTTACAAATCAATGCAATTTTTTACTAAGCTAGACCCTATTGGCAAATTGTCTATAAGTTTAACGAGTGATTAGATGCCAGCGTAAGTGTCAAGGTAGGTAGGTGCTCTCGAGTGCTAAAGCATTGTAGCTCCCTTGTATTTTATATCTTTAGTCAATGTCCAACTTATCCCTAGATGAATTTGATGGCCCTGCCAAGAATTTCCACCTAAAGGTGGCCCTAGCTTTTGCACTATAAACCTAGTCTTTGCCTCAATGATACTGTCCTGAAACTTTAGGCGCAGCCATGTACTTTTTTAGTTTATAAATCCAGAGCCAAATGAATGAATTTCATGATTGCATGTTCTGGCTTCTTGCTTTTGTAATCTCAAGGACTAAATTGTTCCATGCATCTCCCAAACAACTTGATTAGTGATGGACTGGGTCGGTTGCGGGCTAGCAAAATTGAAATTCCATCATTGACCCAATGCGGCATTTGTTGCTCCATCAACAATTGATAGAGCAACAATTGAATTACGGGTCGGTTCTTTTAAGATATGTTTTTTTCTTAAATATAGTAAATATATGCTTTTTCATTAGGTGACCTGTACTCACTTTTGGTAGGTCCTCTAGGGGGATTCAACAATTGAATTAAAATATAGTAAATATATGCTTTTTCATTAGGTGACCTGTACTCACTTTTGGTAGGTCCTCTAGGGGGATTCAACAATTGAATTACGGGTACAAGGAATAATTTGATTGTAGGATTTTATATCCATATAGGGATGGGTACTAATTGCGCTAAGAAGTGTTTCGAAGTTGCAGGGGATTTCATAAATGGATAGGATCCGGATAAGATTGATTAATTAGAAAGATTCTCTTTTTCCTTTCCTTCTGCTTCACAACAAGAATGCTCAGAAAGAATCAAATGGAAAATAATATAGTAGAAGTCATCGAAATTAAGATTTCACCGAGATTAGATGCACGTGGGTTCCACAATGGAATCCGCATACTTCAACGAATGAAAATCTCTCACGTGTTCAAGATGCGATTAAGCTTAGAAAAATCCTTCTACAATTGAATAGATACTTGAAAAAGACTTTTTTCAAATGTTGTTGAGACTGTTAGACATTAATATTTGATTTCGGGCGCGTAGAGGCTCTTCAACCACTGCATAACACTCATTAGTGGTTAAAAAGCCTCTACTCGCCGACTTGCCACTAATGGTTTGTAGTAATTTTTTTTTTTGTTGTTGAAAATGGTTGGTAGTATTTCCATGTCATGTATCATGCTAAAATGTACGTCGTCGTCCAGAATTCTAGGATGTGGGTCATGTTGCTGGCAAGAATTAGTGATGTTCCTTGTCAATTGTCACTCCATGTCAATATCTGTCGGTGTGTGTTCTAATAAAGTAGGTTAACAATCAATCTTGGTATACGATATCACTTCCTTAGTTCCTTGGGACTCGGACGAGACGAGCTGCACTAATTATTATAATTTGAACAAGTGACTTTTTGCATTGCCATGCATGATGTGCGCCCAGGTGTGACATTCCATATTGTGGATTTAAGTACTAACATAAATACACAAACTATTATTTTTCTTAAAACCCATCAATACATTTTATACATGTGCAAGTCTTTTCTTACTTTTTATATGCTGGTCTACTAGAAAATATCATGTGGCACTACAACCACACCAAAGGACCAATAGTGACCTTCAAATCCTTTTTTTTCTTTATTATTCGGGGTCGGTGGCCCCGACTTACATGTAGTTCTATGTACTGTTCTAAGATGTGTAATGGCCCTCCCAATTTAGATATGCTCTGCCCCTGTTTGGGTTTGATTTGTTGAACCAGCTTAGATCTTGTGATGAGTTAGAGACGAACACATATGGTTATTATGCTATTGGTTTTAGGGAATAACTAATTAAGAAGGGCATTCATGTAGATAGAATCCAAAAGTTTCAAAATTTATTCGGACTATTAATATGGCAATTAATTTGTTATATTCTTAAATTCTAGATTGTTTGGGATTCAATTGGATGGACTTTATTTCTGTAAATTCATAAGGTTGCTGTGTGTTTTTGTTGATATAATTTGTAATAAAGAAAATAACGAATGGAAAATATCAATCAGGCCACATCTTTAGTTATATCGTGTGACCGAAAGTGGGAAATGATGTAACAAAAAGGAAATGCAATAAAGTGATTTCCAGTTGTCTTCGGTTGGTCTTTAGCAAGAATTTTGTTCGTTCATTTACATACCAAAAAAAAAAAAAAATCTCATTTTCCAAAGATCTTTCAAAAGGAAAAGGACAATCGTCACATAAATGTGTTAATTTAAAGTAGAATTATACAAGCGGCAGAAATTATCTTCAAATTTCAGGCCCAAAGAAAAATGGCAACAAAAAAAAAAACTGAGTTTATGTTGATAGAGAACTTACCTATAATGAGAATCTTAATGACCTTGTTCATCCCTCCCCGATTATCGCTTCTATTATAGAAAATTGCAAATATAGCAATTACATAAGACATTGACAGTGAAGATACAAATTGTGCATTAAAACATTTGCTTCTCCGAGTTAATTTAGTTGCTAATACTCTGTTTGCGTCATTTTCGGTTCTTTGGGTAAAATCTTTTCTTTTTCCAACATCATTCTATCTCCTGCATGGCTGTAAGATTTTCTGTACCTTGTAACGCTTACAAAAGGATTGTATTGCTTCCTCTTTTTTTCTCTCACTACGTTAATTCTCTACTGTTCAGATTTTGGAGATCGCCATCTCTCTCCCTTCCATCTTTCTGTATAAACCATTGACTGGGGTTCAGTTGACACAGCCATCTCCAAACACTGACATATTTGACTAAAACTCGAAAGGAGGTGAGGTCCTTGTTTCTTTAAAGACTTGTTTTTTCTAGTATGATTGAAGAAGTAGGCTTTCTATTTGTCTTTGGTTTATGCTGTTTCTGAACTTTCTGAAGATGATTAAGTAGACTAACAGAAATAAGTATATGGTATTGCTTTCTTAGTTCAGCAAACTAAAAGTTTCTGTACGTTTGTATTTTCCGTATTTGTTGTTTCATCTGAGTGATGCTCAAAATTTTTGGCTGAATGAACCTGCCAGAGTTGGAATGCCGAACACCCGCTGAGAACTCTGTCACCAGCTGTGCAGTGGATTTTCTTTTCTGTCATTTCCTGTCTGCCTACTTTCATTTTTAGTCTTTTCCCTTTATGCTTTTTAACTTTTTCCATGTTGATTTTAAGAATGTGAGGTTTCAACTTTCTAGTTTAGTAGACCAAGAGATAGTGCTAGACCCCATTTTCTTGCTATCCCGTTCTTTGCATCCCTATCACTTGACCTGCTTGTCATTACTTGTGATGTTTATGCTCTAGATGCTTATCCTTTGAATTTCAGTGACAAGAGTAATATGTACTGCTGTAGAAATGTTATTATCATGTTCAGACCCGTGTGTGTTACGATTTTTTGCTCTTAGCACCCAAATGTGAGCTTTTGTTTGGTCAATGATGCTGATTGATGACTTAGTTTGCGTAATCGAAATGTAGGACACAGTTGCCCAGGACCCTAGTGCTAATATTAGTAGAACCGAGGGTTCATTACTAGAGAGAGCATATGCCTGGGGACAAGTACAACAGTAATTCATCCCACATCCCAAATCGAGTTGAACGGCTCTTGAGAGAAAGGGAGCTAAGGAAGAATAGCAGGGCCTCCCACTTGAATGAAGCAAATGATAACAATAGGGTGACTCAACCATTTGAGCCTGACTTGCAGTTAAGAGAAGATGAAAACTCAAAAGTTTCCTATGTTGAACAATTCTTGGAAGGGGCTGCAGCTGCAAGGGCGCTTACTGATGGATGTGAAAAGCAAGAAGGGCAGCCTCTCAGACAACGACAACGACTGTTGGTTGTCGCCAACAGGTTACCCGTCTCTGCAGTTAGGAGAGGTGAAGATTCATGGTCTTTGGACGTAAGTGCTGGGGGTCTGGTCAGTGCCCTTTTAGGTATGTGATGTCTTAAGTCTTCATTAAATATTGTTGTTCAGTTTAAAGTCTTCAACCCTTTATTGAAGTTTATGTATCCATGTTTATCATTTTCTTAAGGGGATAGGATTTCCATTAGTGTTAATATATTTTTTTCATTTTAATGTGGTATTTCTTTACCTGCAAAAAGACAAACCTAATTTGTACTGGATGGTTTTGCCAAAGGTGTAAAGGAGTTTGAAGCAAAGTGGATTGGTTGGGCAGGAGTAAATGTGCCTGATGAAATTGGGCAGAAGGCACTTACTAAAGCTCTAGCTGAGAAGGTTCAAATTTCTATATCTGAATTTTTTTAAACTGAAATATCCAGCTCATTTCACTGATTGCTTATGTATATGGTTTTGTCTCTGAGGTAAATGTGCATAAACTTTGTAACTTCACTGTCCAACTGATGGTTGTTGTGTTCCTTGCAGAGGTGTATCCCTGTTTTTCTTGATGAGGAGATTGTTCATCAATATTACAATGGATATTGCAACAACATTTTATGGCCCCTTTTCCATTACCTTGGACTTCCACAAGAAGATCGACTTGCCACCACCCGGAGTTTCCAGTCGCAGTTTGCTGCATATAAGAAGGCAAATCAAATGTTTGCTGATGTGGTCAATGAGCACTATTTGGAGGGTGATGTAGTTTGGTGCCATGATTACCATCTTATGTTTCTTCCAAAATGCCTGAAGGATTACAACAGCAAAATGAAAGTTGGTTGGTTTCTCCACACCCCATTTCCTTCTTCTGAAATCCATAGGACACTGCCATCACGATCAGAGCTTCTCCGTTCAGTTCTTGCAGCTGATTTAGTCGGGTAATTATTGGTTACATTCTGCATCAATAACGAACATGTTATACGATTTACTTTGTTGAGGATAATTGGTAAAATGTTGTCCTGATAGATTATTTAATTCTGTTTACATCATAAAAACCTAATATGCAAATGATTATAAAGTTTTTTTTTTTTCTTTTCAGTTTCCACACTTATGACTATGCACGGCACTTTGTTAGTGCTTGCACTCGCATTCTTGGACTTGAGGGTACACCTGAAGGAGTAGAGGATCAAGGGAGGCTTACTCGAGTGGCTGCGGTCTGTATCTATCTAATTACTACCTGCTCCTTTTTTGGTTTTTGGTATTTTATCCTTTTTCGGTTTTGTGTAATTTTTATCATTGCACAAAGTTTAGTGTTAAAAATTTTATACGATATATACACTATCTAATTATTAGCTGTACTTACTATGTTTTTTGTGCTTGAAATTTCAGTTTCCCATTGGAATAGATTCAGAGCGCTTCATACGTGCACTGGAGGTTCCTCAAGTCCAAGAACACATTAGGGAATTGAAAGAAAGGTTTGCCGGGCGAAAGGTAAATGTTCATTTGTTGTTGCAGTGATCCTAGACACGTACACAAATATACCTGTTATTTCTGTCAATGAAATCTGCCAAAAATATGTGTCACTTTAGAGAACAGTAACATGATCAATCTGAAACATAGAACTTTAATTCTGTTGACATTCTTCATTACAGGTAATGTTAGGTGTCGATCGCCTTGATATGATTAAAGGAATTCCACAAAAGATACTGGCATTTGAAAAGTTTCTTGAGGAAAACCCAAGTTGGCGTGACAAAGTGGTTTTGCTGCAAATTGCGGTGCCAACAAGAACGGATGTTCCAGAGTGTATGCCCCTTCATGTGGTTTCTTGTCTCTTTGTCTTATCTTAAGTATGATGTATAAACTACTTATTTTGCATTTCCACAGATCAAAAACTTACAAGCCAGGTTCATGAAATTGTTGGGCGAATTAATGGCAGATTTGGAACTTTGACTGCTGTCCCAATACATCACCTGGTATGCGCTTGACTTCTTAAGTAACTATTCCATGATATGATATATTATTCAAAGGTCATATTTGGCGCTCAGTGGAATTTACTAGGAAGGATGTTGATGTAATATGTGTGGGAAAATGGCAGAGATAGGGTTGCAAGAATGTGGTGGAATAGGAGTTTAGTAGTGCCTGTTCCATAACCATAACAGTATTTTTATCGTTCATCTATATCAAGTTTCAAGACCTATCACATGTAATTTAATGGAATGTTTCCCATAACAATTCTTTTAACGTCTACAGGATCGTTCCCTTGACTTTCATGCTTTATGTGCACTATATGCTGTTACAGGTACTATTATTTTACCTACTCTGGATTTCCCTGTTTCTTTTGATCCAGAATTTTTCAGGCAAACCAAATTTTCAACATAAGCCATAAGCCTTTATGGCAGAAAATCCTTTTGTGCTCTTCCTGATTTCTGCAGTTTTGTTTTATTCAGAACTTAACATTTTTAGCTGTAAGAAAATGTATATGTAACTCTTCAGCTAATAAATTCTTCTTCCCTGCTTTTTTTTTTTTCGCAATTTGCCCAGATGTAGCACTTGTCACATCCCTGAGAGATGGAATGAATCTTGTCAGTTATGAGTTTGTGGCATGCCAAGATGCAAAGAAAGGGGTCCTTATTCTTAGTGAGGTAATAACTAGAAACATGCATGTTTGGTTATGTAATATCTTCGTCTCTTTGTGGAAAATTTGCGTTGGTGTTGAATTATAATTTTCAATGTTGAGAATAGTACATAATGTAAAAAGATAGAGATCATGAATCAAATAAGCTTGAGATGCTGAACCTATGTTTAGTTGGTTCTCGTAAAACCTCTCACTTAATTGTGTTCAGCATTTATTTCGTTAAGGTTGTATCAGATGCAATGCTAGTTGTGCAATTGACATTCAAGGAACAGATAAATCGACTAATTTTTATTACTTGTTTTCTTCTAGCTTTTGACACTTCCAATTCATTTTGCAGTTTGCTGGTGCCGCACAGTCTCTAGGTGCTGGAGCAATTCTAGTGAACCCATGGAACATCACAGAAGTTGCCAATTCAATTGCCCAAGCATTAAATATGGACTCTGAAGAAAGAGAGAAGCGGCATAAGCATAACTTTATACATGTGACAACCCACACTGCCCAGGAATGGGCCGAAACGTTTGTAAGGTATGCATGCTTGAGTTTCAACATGTCATAATTCTTAGAACTTGACATTATTTTTGTGCTGTGTGCTAACAACTTAAGCTTTTGGCACAATGGTAAACCAACATAATTGACATGGCAGACAAATTACTTACTGAGATTTGATATTCGCATTAATATTTTCCAGTGAACTTAACGACACTGTCGTAGAGGCACAAATAAGGACTAGAGAGGTGCCACCAGCACTTCCAAACAAGGAGGCGATTGAAAGATATTCGAAAGCAAGTAATCGATTGATCATACTGGTATGTTAGGGGAATGTCCCAGTTAAGAAGTGGTGTTCTTACCTCTAGTAAATTCTTCATTAAATATCATACATATCTGCATGCTTTTCATCTTTGAAGAGATCTGCATGGTATACATTGTCAAATCTAGGAAGCCTGATGCACGTAATGGGCAGTTGTCATAGAAATGTCTTAACCAAGATCTCACTGCCCAACTGAAAGGTTTTTATACGCCTTTACTTTGCCCAGTATACCAGCTGTACATAAAATTTGCTTCCATATAATTCAGGTCAATGACTAATACAGGCTGCTGATATGCTTGACATATTTAGTAGCTAATAATACATCAAGTTGGTCTCACCAATTTGCATTTAGTTGATACCAGTTTCTCGCTGTTATTTTTAAGACTTATAATTGAAGGGTTTTGACTAAAAAAATAATAATTGAAGGTTTGTTTTCATGCTGTTAAGTTGTTTGTCAGCTACTTTCTGGTTGATTCTGTAACTTCCTTTTTGTCGATTCTCCCATAACTATAAAGTGTTGATTTTCTTCCTTAAGTAATATGCAACTCCTCCAGCGTTTGTAGGCACTCTTACCTTCTGTCAATAATATTTCTTTTGTGGATTCAACCTTGATAGACTTTTTCTTCTTCTTCTTTGTTCTGATCTTTGTGGTGATTCGAACTCAGGGATTCAACGCAACATTAACTGAACCAGTGGACACACCTGAGAGACGAGGTGATCAAATAAAAGAAATGGAACTTAAACTGCACCCAGAGTTGAAAGAACCCTTGTCAGCACTGTGCAATGATCCACAAACAACTATTGTTGTTCTCAGCGGGAGTGCCACATATGTTTTAGATGATGTATTTCATCCATCTCCACATCTTAATTTCTTTACCACCTTTACTTATCCACTTTTTAATTAGAGTGTTTTCACAGAACTTCGGGGAGCTTGACATGTGGTTGGCAGCTGAAAATGGGATGTTTTTGCGCCTAACAAAGGGAAAATGGATGACAACAATGCCCGAACATTTGAATATGGAATGGGTTGAGAGTGTGAAGGTGATCTTGAGTCTTGAATTAAAGTTATATTCTGTTTGGTTGAATCCTGACTCCTCTAACTTACAATGCTGATGTTATTTTTTCAGCATGTTTTTGAGTATTTCACGGAGAGAACACCCCGGTCACATTTGGATGACCGTGAAACTTCGCTTGTGTGGAATTATAAATATGCAGGTACAAAAAAGTTTTGAACCCTTAACCCAAAAAAAGAATGGTTCTGTTTTATCCCGTTTCCATTGTAAGATGGTCTTTTGAACAAGTGCACTTTTGTTTATTATATACTCTTTCTGTTTCTTATCATCTTATCACAGATGTTGATTTTGGAAGACTTCAAGCAAGAGATATGCTGCAGCATCTATGGACTGGTCCAATTTCTAATGCATCTGTTGATGTTGTTCAAGGTAGCCGGTCTGTAGAGGTGCGACCAGTTGGTGTCACAAAGGTGAATCCATGAATGCTTAACAAAAAATATTACATTAATAAAATTTATATTTTTCATACTACAGTTTTTTGCTTGTTTTCTTTTCTGACAGTTTTCTTTATCAACTCAGGGTGCAGCAATTGACCGTATATTGGGAGAGATAGTTCACAGTAAATCTATGACAACACCCATTGATTATGTGCTGTGTATTGGACATTTTCTTGGAAAGGTAACTTTCCCATCCCACAAGTCATGCCTTCCCTCATCTCTGATCCCCACTTATCTCAGTTATAAGTTTCCTTTCTGATCTGAGGAATTATACCATCACATTTTGCTTCAAATAAGGTTCTTCAGAAACTCAGAATCTGCTAGCAACTTTAAATTACTTTCCAGTATTTTCTTGAAGGTTCTTTACAGGCCCATCAAAATGCTCCACTTTTGCATCGTCTGATCCTTAATACCAACCGACAAGCATGGGATTGTAGTTCATTTTATGTGCTTTAACTCCCAATTGTGGAAAATGGAGAACATTTTGATTCAGGTGTTTGTTCATCTTCATTTCAGGATGAAGATGTTTACACCTTTTTTGAGCCGGATCTTCCGCCTGAGCAGATGGGTCTTCCGAGAAAGATGACTGATGGACAAAAGTTACCTAGTGAGAGAAGATCTTCATTGAAGGTTCCATCAAGTAAAAGTGCCTCAAAATCAGCTCAGAGCAAGACACAACGACCTTTACCAAATCCTGAGAAGAAGAATGCCACTCACAGCAATGGGAATGCACGATGGCCGTCTCCTGAGAAGACTTCATGGAATGTACTTGACCTAAAGAGGGAGAACTACTACTCTTGTACCGTCGGGCGGACGCGTACAAATGCTCGATATCTGCTTCAGTCTTCAGATGATGTTGTCTCATTTCTTAAGGAGTTGGCTGGTGCCTCTTCGGCAAGTTCTTAATCTCAAGATTTAGAGCATCTTCAACCGATATGTCAAAAGTGTCACATAGAAATTTAACGGCTAGAAATTACATCTCACATCACTGCGACCGAATTGCCAAAGCTGATGTGGAATAAAGGTTAGAGGTTCAGTCGTTACTTTTGACATCCCAAAAGCAAAATGTCAAATGAATATTTTATTATTTTTTAAAGACAGCTGGTTGTTATTTTCATTTATTATTATTTTTCTTCTTTATCTTGAATGATTTGACCGTTACAATTTTTTTCCTTCTTTCTCTTTCCAATTTATTTCCAATTTAAATCAACACTAAAATGTAATAAAATAATAATTTAATTTGACATATTGGGTGGAGTGTAAAACGGTGTAAATGTCAAATTGTCACATCAGCCATCAAATTTAAATTTGATGATTGGTATTTAATTGAAATATTACATTTACTCTTAGATTAGGTACTGAAAAGGCATCTAAACCACAGTGATGGTCAAAGATTTAGGAAGAACAAAATGAGAAACGCAGAGCATCCTTCTTGAATATGCAGTAATTATTAATCTAAACCACAATGATGGTCAAAGTTTTACATAATTTCCACCATCGAAGTAATTATTCATCCAAGTCTCAAAATGAACACTGTTTGTACAATATCTGGCCAAGCACTCCCCAAACACTCCCAAGCCAAAGGGAAGGGAGTCCCACATCGACAAAACACAAGAGGAGGGGACTCTCCCTTCTTTATAAAAGGAGACCTCTCCCCTTCAAGAGAGAGGATGGGGAGTTTGGGCAGGCTACTGGGGCCTCATGGGCTTACCCATGAGCCCACTTAAAAACCCACGGATCATACCAGATCCTTAGCCTTCGGCATCTGTCTTCGGCCTCCAGCCTTTGGCATCGGCCTTCGGCATCTGCCTTCGGCCTTCGGTATTCTTCCTCTTCTCCTTGAGTCTAAACCTATGTGCAATGTATACTCACATTATCGTAATGAGAACATACTTCTCCGTGGACGTAGCCCATTATTCGGGTGAACCACGTACATTTGTCTTCTGTATGCATGTTTACCTGCTTACCGAATCCTTTCGCATACCGAGGGTCCTCACCTTCAACATTCACCTCATCTTTAAGTTGGTCTATTTACTACCTGTCTAGTTTTAGCGCCAACAGACACTTTTTAAAACTTGAGAGCATTATCTCTCTCAATCTGGAGATGAAGAGCTTGCTGAAGATGCACCAGCCAACTCCTTCAGAAATGAGACAACAACATTTGAAGACTGAAGCATATATCGAGCATTTGTACATGTCACAGAACAGTCGAAATTGTTTCCGATCCGACGACATTGCATCTAGTTGAAGGCCTTGCTGAAGCTTTAGGAAGTTTGGCTACTGCTAGTGGTTGGGATAAATGGCAGGCATTATACCATCTAGCATCTACAAGTGTATCCACATTACTATTGCGTTTTCTGAGAGAGGTATACTAATTGCTCCAAGAACTGTTTCAAAATCATAGGGGATTTCATAAACGGATAGGATCCGGAGAAGATTGATTAATTAGAAAGATTCTCTTTTTCCTTTCTTTCTGCTTCACAACAAGAATGCTCAGAAAGAATCAAATGGAAAATAATATAGTAGAAGTCATTGAAATTAAGATTTCACCGAGATGAGATGCATATGGGTTCCACAATAGAATCAGTATACTTCAACGAATGAAAATCTTGTCGAGCAAATTTAGAGTACACAACTTTAATTTAGACTTGTTAGAGACAAAACAAGTAAACAATTTACTTGTATTAGACTCACAAAATATTACAACAAGACAACTCTCAAAGGAAAGACAAACTCTTACAAGGACTCTTTCTCACTTCACTCACACTTCTCACTAGAACTACTTAGCTCTATAGCTCACTCTTCTTGTTGACACACTTCACTTCTTGATTGGTTGGTTACATTGATAAGCTTTATGCCTATTTATAGAGGTAGTAACCAACTTATGTAAGTCGGCTTTATATAGCTAACCGACTTGACAAAAGATCCCAGCCACATGTTCAACCGACCTTGAATATATCATGTAGGTTCTAGGAATTGTTTAGGCGGTTTGCTTACTTTGCTGGGTAGACCTCATTCTAGATTGTTCTAGTTTTATTTGTGCAATATTATTTCTATGAGTTGGGCATTTACTTTTCTTGGGCTGCTTAATATGTTATTCTAGATTGTTCTAGTTTTATTTGTGCAATATTATTTCTATGAGTTGGGCTTTTACTTTTCCTGGGCTGCTTAATATGTTTGTGGGCTAGGGTTGATATTTTAACACTCCCCCTCAACACCAGCTCACATCCTTTGCACCACATTGAGCTGACGACGAAATCTTTCCAACTTGCCGGTACTTAGACCTTTTGTGAACAAGTCCGCAATTTGATCATATGTATTGATATGTCTCATCTCAATCTCTTCTTGCAAAACCTTCTCTCTGATAAAATGGTAGTGTATCTCCACATGTTTGGTTCTTGCATGAAAGACTAGATTTTCCACCAAATGAACTGCTGATTGATTATCACAACATAACGGCACTGAATAATCTACTAATTGATGTAGATCATTCATCAGTTGTGTCAGCCATGTGATCTCTTGAGCTGCCATTACTGCTGCTCTGTATTCAGCTTCAGTGGTTGACAAAGATATTATCGGCTGTCTCTTACTGCACCAAGAAATTGTTCCTGAACCAAGCTTAAATGCGTACCCGGTAGTTGATCGACGAGTGTCATGATCTTTTGCATAGTGAGCATCACAATAACCAACTAGCTTGCAATCTTCACATTTCTTGTACAACAGGCCATAGTCAATTGTACTTTTCACATACCTCAGTATTCGTCGAACTGCGTCCAAATGAGACTTCTTTGGATTTTGCATGTATCGACTCATCACTCCAACTGCATATGAAATATCAGGTCGAGTCAATGTCAAGTAGATTAGACTACCCACCAATTGTCGATACATCGTTGCGTCTTTTAAGTCTTTGCCTTCATATGCGCACATCCTGACATTGGGCTCCATCGGCGTTGAGATTGGCCTGCATTCAAGCATCCCAAACTTTTGCAACAAATCTTTTGCATATTTCTGTTGACACAGAAATATTCCTTTTTGTGTGCGATCGACCTCTAACTCAAGAAAGTGCTTGAGTTGTCCCAGTTCTTTCATCTGAAAACGAACTGACAAATTCTCCTTCGTCTAGTGAATTTCTTCCTCGTCATCACCAGTGATGATTAGATCATCCATGTATACTAGCACGATAGCTAATTTTCCTCCATTAGCTTTGACGAATAAACTGGAATCTGCATGGGTTACTGAATAACCACTTCGGGAGAGAAACTCAGCAATCTTACCGTACCACGCTCTTGGCGCTTGCTTCAATCCATAAAGTGCCTTTTTCAGCTTGCACACATACTCGGGATGGACTTCGTTCTCAAATCCTATTAGTTGAGTCATGTAGATTTCCCGATCTAACTCCCCATGCAAAAACGCATTCTTCACATCCATCTGGTACAAGTTCCGATCTTTGTTGGCTGCAAGTGCAAGTAGGACTCGTACGGTCATAAGCTTTGCCACTGGACTAAACGTTTCATCATAATCTAGTCCATATTGCTGAGAGAAACCTCGAGCCACCAACCGAGCCTTGTATCTCTCGACCGATCCATCAGGATGACACTTTATCTTATACACCCATTTGCAAGATATGGGTTTCACATCCCTTGGCTTTGGCACCAGATCCTAAGTTTGATTTTGCTTGAGCGCAGTGATCTCTTCTCTCATAGCTTTAAAACATTTGGAACTCTGTGATGCTTCTTCAAACGTCTCAGGTTCAACTGCTTCTTCTGCTATGGCTGCGTTGGCGTATTTAAGATTTGGCTTCTGTACTCTTGTTGACCTTCTGGGTTGTGACTGTGGAGTCAATATTTCCACTTCACTAGGTCTAACTTCTTCTAGTGCTTGTTGATGTACACCAGTCTGCCAAGGATTCTGAGTAACTTCTTGCTCGTCATCTTCGTCGTCAAGCGAATCTTCATGCTCATTTGAACTCGATCGAATTGGAACAATTTGCTCCCCCAACTTATGTTGCAACTTATCTTCAATTTCTCTCAAGTCTGGTAACACCTCCTTTTATGAGGACCACCAAGATGATGCTTCATCGAACACCACATCTCGTGATGTGTAGCACCTTTAATTTGTAGGGTCACAACACTTCCACCCTTTTCTCTGGCTGTCGTATCCCACAAAGATACATCTAATTGCCTTTTTGTTAAACTTGTTACGTAGATGACTTGGAACAAATACATAGCACATACAACCGAATACTCGAAAGCAACTGAATGTAAATTTCATATCCCACAGTTTCTCGAAGGGCGAAACAAATTCTAACCTTGGTTGAGGAAGTTTATTGATCACATGGGCTGCAGTTCTCATGACTTCAACCCAAAACCTTCATAGCACATTCTTGGCATGCATCATGCTTCGACATATCTCTGCAAAATGCTGGTTCTTTCTCTTTGTTACTCCATTCTGTTGTGGTGTGTTGGCACATGTGAATTGATGACGTATGCAAGACTCTCGTAGATATTGGCAAAATTCATTCGAGGTATATTCTCCTCCATTATCTGTGCGTAGACAGATAATCTTCTTCCCCACTTTTCCTTCAACTGTCTCTCTAAATTCTTTAAACTTTGAAAATGTGCCGGATTTTTCTTTCATAAAGAAAACCCACACATACCTGGAGAAGTCATCAATGAACGTCAACATGTATCGCATCCTGCTATTCGATGGTTGCTTGATAGGCCCGAATACATCAAAATGGATTAACTCTAACGGTGCTTTTGCTTTGAACTTGGACTCCTCGTATGGTAGTTGATGCGATTTACCATATTGGCATCCTGCACAAACCGTATCTGTTCTCACATCAAGCTGAGGCAGACCCTTGATCATTGACTTCTTCATCATCACGCTTAGCTTGTGATAGCTAACGTGGCCCAATCTCATGTGCCATAAATCTGCTGTCTCGTTCTTTTTTGTCTTGTCTACATATGCAGACTCTGCTGACATTACATAGACTGACTCCAGTCGACGTCCCTCCATTGTCGGCATCCCTGAGATCTTGAGGTTTCGATATACCTTCACATCTCTTGGACTGAATAGGACATAGTTGCCTGATGATGTC